TCATGGCCAAAAAAACCCTACTTATTCCTCACGTTCTATTTCAAAAGGACACAAGAATTCAGAAGAAAAAATTACAGGTAACAGCAGACACCCAGAATCCTACCTCCAAAGTTTAACAGTTATTTTCATTTTATTCTAGTTATATCAAATTCCCTTCTTTTTAATAAAACAGACTTAGCTAAAGCCTTCCCCATGCCTTTTCTTCCCCATCTTTTTCTCCCGAAGCAATGGTCCCTCTAACTACAGTGTAATTCCCACACATTTCTCACCTGTATTTATCTTTTTGTGAGGTATATACCCATAAACAACAGTACATGTAAGTCTCATTTGGTACATTTTTAAAATTTACAGAATCTTTTGCAACTTGCATTTTTCCACTTAACAGGATGTTTAGATTTAAAGGGCTAGGTAAATCGAACAGATTTTTTTTTCCCATATAATGGAATTGGGCAAAACATTTAAAATGAATGAACCAGAGCTGCATGTAGCACCTCCTCTTTTATGCATACCCTTTGATGATATATTTCCAGCAACTTCATAATGTTCTTTAGAACTGGCCTTTGCTGTTACAATTATATGGGTTTCACTCTAAGTAGCAGCCACAGACACGCTCACAGAGGTTAAGTAAGCTGCCCTGGGAAACGCATTTATTTAGTGGCAAAACCAGGACTCAGCCTCAGCCTATTTAAAGCCCACACACCTATGACTCCATTAAATATGAGTGTATTTTCTCCTTAATTTTCACCTTCCCATTCACTTATCTGGCTCTAAACAACTGTCCCATGACCAGAACTCCAGTTCCAGAACTTTCACATACTTATACCTGTGGAAGTAGCTGAAGCAGAAATCTGCCTGAGACAAGGCAATATATTGGCCTAGAATTAACTGCAAACCAGGCACCAACAGAGCTACCCTTTGGGGGGTGAGCTGGTAGATCCTAAATGAGGGCAATGGGAACCCTAAGAGGATGAGGCTTCTTCACCTTAGGGTACACAGTTGCAGGAAATGAGCAGGGACCTGGGTTCAGAGAGGCTGAAAGGTACTGATTCTCCTCATTTACAAGATGCAAGAGCTGTTTTTCCAGTTGCTACTGGGATCATTATTTTGACCTCTTATCTGCAATGAAAAAAATATCCTGCCCAGGCCGGTTTGGTTCAGCGGTTAGAGCGTCAGCCTACGGACCACAGAGTCCCGGGTTCGGTTCCCACTAGGGGCACGTACCTTGGTTGAGGTTTGTCCCCGGCCCCAGTTGGGTTGTGCGGGTGGCAACCAGTAGATGTGTGTGTGTCTCTCTCTCTTCCTCCCTCTTTCCCTCCTGCTCTATCTGAAGGTAAATACAAAAATGGCTCAGTGGTTAGAGTGTCGGCCTGCGGTCCCGAGAGACCCGGGTTCGATTCCCGCTAAGGGCACGTACCTCGGTTGCAGTTTGTCCCCGGCCCTGGTTGGTCGTGCGGGTGGCAGCCACTCGATGTGTCCCTTTCACATCGATGTTTCTCTCTCTCTCTCTCTCTTCCTCTCTCTCCCTCCCACTCTATCTGAACAAAAAATGGAAAAATGTCCTCAGGAGAGGATTAAAAAAAAAAATATATATATATATATATATATATCCTGTAGCCTGACATAAGTAGTTCTCTTATCTTATCTTGCTCTGACCCCAAGACAATCCCAAAGCCTGCTCTGAACTTCCAAGAGCCAGCTTCAGCCAAGGCTGGAGGGTGAGCTGCTCTATAGGTTTGTCTCAGACTGCTAAAGGGATATTTTATTCATCTTAGATCACAGAGGGTAAATAGGCAGTGACAGCAAATTGAAACAAACCTTCCCTACAGCTGAAATTCTTTTTTTTTTAATCCTCACCCGAGGACACTTTTTCATTCTTTGTTCAGATAAAGCAGGAGGGAGAGAGAGAGAGAAACATCGATGTGAAAGGGACACATCGAGTGGCTGCCACCCGTACGACCAACCAGGGCCGGGGACAAACTGCAACCGAGGTACATGCCCTTAGCAGGAACCGAACCCGGGTCTCTCCGGACCGCAGGCCGACGCTCTAACCACTGAGCCAAACCGGCCAGGGCACCTACAGCTGAAATTCTGGCATAACATCAGGTATCAGTCCTGGTTAGCTTGCTGTGTGACACTGTTTGAGTCCTGCACCTTTCAGTGTAATATTTTTATCACTCATAAACTGCTCTTCAATCACTTGTAAACTGCACTTTATCATCTAAGAGAAACCTCTGGGGGTCACAAAGCACTTTTGAGGAAGGTTAATCTCTCAGTGTACAGGGGGTCACTTGGGGGTAGACTTAGTTCCAAATAGAAAGATTTTCTTTGATATGGAGAGCAATTGAAACCGTTTCTCAATCTTTGCTACAAGTGAGTAAAAGCATTCTTGCTATTTTTATTGCTCTGCAAAAAAAAAAAAAATACAGAAACTCTGTAGCTATCATCTCCGTGAATACTTGGGAAAGGTTAGCAGAGAATGGTAACAGAGAACACAGCAAGAGAACTATTTTTTTTTTCTTCTCCAAGGTCACTTTGAACAGTGGATTTAAAGCTCTCCCTTCCTTCTGGGAGGGAAAAAGTTTGAGTAAGGTAAAGCATGTTCTCCAGTCCAACCATGGATCTCAGGCTGTGCCCACCTTCCCAGAACAAAAGTGCCACCCCAAGGGTTCTCGGAGGTCTACTTTATCTGACTACTAACTAGTAAAATTAAGAGATTTGACTTTGAGTGGTAAACACACAATGCAATATACAGATGATGTATTATGGAATGGTACACTTGAAACCTATGTAACTTTATTAACCAATGTCACATAAATTTAATGGAAAAAAATTAAAACTCCACTTTCAAAATGCCACATGGACCTTCTTCCATCCTGCATCTTTCAAACTGAATGTGGCTTTTTCTCCAGGCTTACACAGAGGGTTTGAAAGGGAAAACTGTATTAGAACTTTATTCTATAATCATAAAGTTGAATGGGGCATGAGAGATTACTAAATCCTTATCTCCTTATTCTTAGTACCATGTCAAAAATGATTGAGGACTGCCCTGGCCGGTTTGGCTCAGCGGTTAGAGCATCAGCCTGCGGTCCAGAGAGACCAGGGTTCAGTTCCCGCTAAGGGCACGTACCTCGGTTGCAGTTTGTCCCCAACCCTGGTTGGTTGTGCGGATGGCAGCCACTCAATGTGTCCCTTTCACGTCTATGTTTCTCTCTCTCTCTCTCTTCCTCTCCCTCCCTCCTACTCTATCTGAACAAAAAATGGAAAAATGTCCTTGAGTGAGGATTAAAAAAAAAATGATTGAGGACTTAATGGATTAAGTTTCAAAAGAAAGATTCTGGGTAAATTTACCAAAAATAATAATAATAATAAAGGGCAGGCAGAGGTAGTAGTACTCAACTTATGAATAAAAACAATTAATCCTTCCTTCCATTTATATGAGGTACCTACCTAACTGCAGTCAAATTCAGAGACAGAAAATAGAATGGCAGTTGTTGAGGGCTGGGCAGAGGGGGGAATAGGAAGTTAGTATTTTAGAATTTCAGTTTTGCAAGATGAAAAGAACAGAGTTCTGGAAATAGATGGTGGTGATGATTGCACAACGATGTGAATGTACTTAATGCCACTGATCTGTAAACTTAAAAAGAGTAAAGATGGGCCCTGGCCGGTTTGGTTCAGCAGTTAGAGCATCGGCCCACGGATCAAAGAGGCCCGGGTTCAGTTCTACTAAGGGCATGTACCTTGGTTGCAGTTTGTCCCTGGACCCGGTTGGGGTTGTGTAGGTGGCGACCACTCGAAGTGTCTCTCTCCCATGATGTTTCTCTCTCTCTCTTCCTCCCTCTCTCCCTCCCACTCTATCTCAAGATAAATGAAAAAAAATGTCCTCGGGTAAGGATAAAAAAAATATTTTAAGAAAGAGTAAAGATGGTCAATTTTATATGTGTTTTACCACAATTTTTTTAATTGGGGGAAAATGCTCATTTTCATTTGGGACCAGCATGTCATAGTGGCTGGTAACTAGGACTCTGGAGTTCTGAGCTTCTCTCTTTGTTCTGCATTTACTAGCAGGGAGCCTTTGAGCAACTCACCTGACATCTCTGAGACTGTTTCTTCATCTACAAAAATGGAAATAGTAACAATAGTGTCCTACCTCTTAGGCTATAAGGATAAGAGAACAAGGTAACAGAATCTCATTAGCACAACAGTGAGACTTGCTAAAGTGATTAACATTTTTAATAATAAATGAGTTTAGTATCCAGTGATATTACTAAAAAGTCAGCAATAACTAAGTGATAACAAAATTAATAATATTATCAGAGATCTGTAAGTGCATGAAAGACTTCATTTTCCGGGAAAAAGAAGCCCTGGTTAGGAGTGAGAAGACGGGCTTCAAGAGTGACTGTGGGAGTGAGATTCTCCTTGGTGATACATAAGGGGTGACAAAGATGATCTCTTAGATTACCAGGAAGCCAAATCAGTTTTGCTCCTTGGCGAGAGCCAGCCCTGGCAGCACCTCCCTCACCTCCTAAACTTCTCGAAAACGTATCGGGCAAGGGAAGGGGTCCAAAGGTCATGCCAGAGAGGGCCCAGAGAGGGCTCAGAGAGGGCTGATACCAAAGCGTCTTCCTAAGCCCAAGGCGGCTTCATGATGCAAGGTTTGTTCAAAACACCTACGCATCGGGAGCAAGGGTCCCGCACCCTCGTTCCTCCCATGCCAAAGTCTGCAACTCTGCCCGCTGGGGGAGCTGCAAGGAACTGCACGAGGTCCAGCAGAGACCCTACCCCCCAAAAAAGGCACCCCAAAACAGCCTGGGTTGCAGAATTATAAATACCTCTTCTGCACATGCGCACCGAAATTTACGAACGTCCCAGGGTACAACCGCACCCACTGCGCCTGCGCCGTCCAGCTCTCCTTTGGGCACAAGACAGGAAAGATCCCAAGGAACCACGAAAAAAAAAAATTGATCTGCAGTGGCTGCTCTCCTCGTTACCTCGTTTCTTACCTCGTAGTGCTTCATGACTTCTTCACAAGGTGGCTACTGTTCTTGCTGCTACTGCTGCTGCTGCCTACCAGCGCGCAAAGCAGCACAGGTTCTTCACGCGCTCACGACCGCCGTGCGACACTAACAGCAGTCCCACGTCTGCCCCGCCCCCCCTGCCGCGCGTGCCCCTCCAGCCAATCATCATTCAAGGCGCCCACCTTCGTCCCCGCCCCGGGGGGCTGGTCTGAGAGAAGACAAGCCGCTCTCACCATAAGGTTGGCCAATCAGCTTGCGGAATCCATCGAAGGGCGGAGCGCATGCACGAGGTGGGCTAGAAAAAAGGGGCGTGGTCCCCACCAATGAAAATGGATCTCAAAGCCGCGCGCCCCTTTCCCCGCCCCTTGATGGCGTCGCTGTGGAAACCAAGGGAAGCGACAGTTACTGCAAGGCCTGGGAAGGGAGCAAGAAGTTGAGTGACAGGGAGGGCAGCATCCAGAAGACGGGCGGCGCGGCTGGGTGAATTCCGAGGTGGGCGGCTCCTGGGGTACTGCGGAGCAACCGCAGAGAGCTAGGGCCTGGGGCCTTTGGCATAGGCGCCTAGATGGAAAGGCCTCTCCAGCAAGGGGACTCCTCATGAATGGGAGAGAAGGAAAGGGGAAATGGGTGGTGAAAAACACCCTAAGACCCTCCCAACCTGCAACCAGGGGGTGTCTTCACTGCCCTTTTCAATGCAAGCCCCCGACCCCCAATGGGCAGGGGGACCCACTTTTGTCTTCACCTGCGCTGCCGGGTATGGTCACTACGTGAAGCTAGTGAGCCCTTGAAATATGACTGGTCAAATTTGAGATGTGCTGTATAAATATGTAAAACACACCAATTTCAAAGACTACTGTTTTTTTAATATAATAACCTTTTATGTTGATTACACCTTGAAATAATATTTTGGATATATTGGATTAAGATATATTACTTAGACCTGGCCGGTTTTGCTCAGTGGTTAGAGTGTCGTCCCCCAGACCAGAGAGTCCCTGGTTCGGTTCCCACTAAGGGCATGGACCTCAGTTGCAGTTGTCCTAGCCCCGTTGGGGTCTTGTGGGTGGCAACCAGTTAATGTGTCTTTCTCACATCTATGTTTCTCTCCCTCTCTCCAGCTCTGTCTGAAGATAAATGCAAAAATGGCCTCAGGTGAGGATTAAAAAAAAAAAAGATATATTATTAAAATTAACTTCCCTTTTTTTTTCCAACTTTTACTAATTTATTTTTGTTACAGATGTTTCTCCTTTCCCCTCCCCCAGACACCCTCCTCCCCATCCCGCCCCACACACACCCAGCATCGTTGTCTATGTCCATTGGTTATGCATACATGCATATTTCTTTGGTTCATCTCATCCATCCCCCCACCCCCTTACTCTGAGGTTTGTCAGTCTGAACCATACTCCTTTCTATGTCTCTGGGTCTATTTCGTTCATCAGCCCACTTTGTTCATTATATTTTCACAAATAAGTGAGATCATGTGGTATTTGTCTTTCTTTGATTGGCTTATTTCGCTTAGCATAATACACTCAAGGTCCCTCCATTTTGTCTCAAAGGATAAGAGATCTTTCTTTCTTACAGCTGTATACTATTCCAATGTATATAGGTACCACAGCTTTTTTATCCACTCATCTATTGATGGACATTTGGGCTGTTTTCAGATCTTAGCGATTGTAAATAGGGCTGCTATGAACATAGGGGTACACATATTCTTTCTGATTGGTGTTTGAGGCTTCTTAGGATATATTCCTAGAAGTGGGATCACTGGGTCAAGTGGCAGATCAATTTTTATTTATTTTATTTATTTATTTATTTATTCCTCACCCGAGGACACTTTTCTATATTTTGTTCAGATAGAGTGGGAGGGAGGGAGAGAGAGAGAAACGTCGATGTGAAAGGAACACATCAAGTGGTTGCCACCCACACGACCCAACCAGAGCCGGGGACAAACCACAACCGAGGTACGTGCCCTTAGCAGGAACCCAACCCGGGTCTCTCTGGATCGCAGGCCAACGCTCTAACCGCTGAGCCAAACTGGCCAGGGCCAATTTTTAATTTTTTGAGGAAACACTGTACTGTTTTCCATAGTGGCTGCACCAGTCTGCATTCCCACCAGCAGTGCACTAGAGTCCCCTTTTCTTTTCCTTTTTCTTTATTGATTTTAGAGAGAGAAGAAGAAAGGGAGAGAGAAACACTGATGAGAGAGAACATCGATTGGCTGCCTCCTGCATGCCATTCACTGGGGATCTGGCCCACAACCTGGGCATGTGCCCTGACCAGGAATCAAACCACCGACCACTTGGTGCATGGGTCAATGCTCAACCAATGAGCCACACCGGTCAAGCAGGCTACTTTTTTTTAAAATATGTTTTTGTTTATTTGTTTGTTTTTTCTTTTTATCATCAGATAGAATGCTAGGGACAAAGAGAGAGACAGAGAGAAACATCAATGTGATAGAGGCACATCGACTGGTTGCCTCTGGCACAAACAACCAAGGCCGGGAATGAACCACAACCGAGGTACATGCCCTTGACTGGAATTGAACCCGCAACTCATTGGTCTGTGGGCCAACGCTCTAATCGCTGAGCCAAACCGTTCAGGGTTCAGGACATTAATATGTTTTTTTAATTAATGTTTTAGAGAGGAGGAAGGGAGAAAAAGGAACATCGATGTGAGAGAGAAGCACGCCTTGCACTGAGGATCAAGCCCACAACCCAGGCATGTAACCTGACCAGGAATCTAACCAGGACCTCTCAGCCCATGGGACTGATGCTCAATCCTCTGAGCCACACCAGCCAGGCTCTTTTTCTTTTTTAATTTTCCTGCTGGAACATTGAAAATCGCAAACACAGCTTGCATCTGTGGCTGGCAGGTGTGCCTCTCACACTAGCTCTGCTGGGCAGTGCTAGTCTGGGGTTACATCATCTTTCGTCATGAACGAGTTAGGGAGGTTCGATGCTAACACACACAAGCACACACACACACGCACACACACACACAGATTCATACACACACTCAAGATTTTCAGGACAGACTAAGGAGTGAGCAGCACCTGGCACATTCCCTCACCTTGTCCTCTTTCTCCCAGTTCCAGGCCTGCCCATGAGCCACCATCAACTGTTGTAATGTCAGAACCCAGAGATCTGATATCAGGTACACGGTGAGAAGTCCTCAAAGGTAGGTCTCTGAGTCATAGAGGAGTAGGGTGGGGCAAGGGTGACTCATTGCTGAGCCCTTAATCATCTGGGTTTGGTTCTAGACATTTCTGAAGCTACAGCTTTTGGGGGGAATTCCAGGTAACAGCAAAGGCTACAGTCTTCAGAACTTCACTTTTTCACTGGGGCTATCTGGACAAAAAAAGTGAAAACATAAAGGTGTTTTATAATCACACTTTCAAAAGCATCAGTCTTTTTCTATTGGTAGTTGTGGTGCTCACAGTATTTTGAAACCCTTTGTGTCCCAATAGGCCTCACTTGCTGCCCTCATTGAGGGGGACAGAGGGAGTACTCACTCTGAGACCACAAGTTAAAATCCGATCAAGTTTAATTACTTGAGATGTCTAATTGTAAGGTGCTGAGGGGGCAGGGAAAAATCCCTAAAATCTAGCCATGGTTTGCTACTTTGCCAGTTCTGGCGATTTCCAGCATCTCCAATGTGGTCTGATTAGGCACCTCTTCCAGTGGGCTCCAGCCAGGTAAGACTTGTGGTGTCATGGCCAAATAGATGACATTCTTGGAGAAATTCCGCACACATTCCTAGGTACTTGGAAGATTCTGGAGTTCCCCTTTCAAGACTGCTTTCCTGAGCCCAGCACACACACAACAGGAACCAAATCATTTTGTGAACCTACTATGCAGTGTGTCATATAGGGCATACAAATAATTTCCACCCTGCTCACTTACAAGAAGCTCATGGAAAGGCAGGAGCAAGCCTCCAGGGGAGAATTTCTCTTTATTTCTGATAAGTATTGCAGGAGTAAGGACTCCTTGTTGGTTTCATCTGGCTTCCAGTAACCAGGCTGTCAGTAAAAATCAAATCCACCCTTGGAATGAAGACTGGCCACTTTGTACAGCCATTCATGACACTTTAATGTGGCTCTGGGTGTGCCTGTCATTAGGGACTGCTAAATCATTCTTGTGTCCTCGGCATCCCCAGCACAGTAGCTAATTCATAACAGTGACAAGTAGACACATTTGGTGTTTGCTGACTGTAACAAGCCCCTGAGAGCAGTTTCCAAAGGAGAAATTCCAGAAAGAACTTGCATTTGGCAGCGCTGAAAGATAAGTGGGGCCTCCTGGAGTCTCGGATTTGGGAGAACCCACAGTCATTTGAACATTGAAGATCTGGTGTGTTCATTTGTATCCGGCTCACAAGCTCCTTTTGCATTTCCCACATGTGAGTTAGGTAGGATCTTGATTTTCCAGAACCTGGCTTGGCTGGATTGGGGGTGCGTGATAAAGCTGGGTCAGAGAATGTGAAGGAAGGTGAATGGGAGAGCAGACAAGCCAGGGCTGGTTAGCAACTTTCCGCTGTGTCAGGAGCCCCAGAGAGAGGTTTCCCAAGCCCTGCCCTGTTTTGCATTTTTTATTTTTATTGTTAAGCCCATAGGATGTTGTTGTTGTTTTTTTTATTGAGGTATAATATATTTTCAGTAAAATTCACCTTTTTCCATGTATAGTTCTGAATACAGACAGTGGTATACCACCACCACAGTCAAGATATAGAACATTTTCATCATCCCAAAAATTTCTCCTGCACCTCCCTGTAGGCAGATCCTATCCACCAGCAACCACTTTCTGCCCCACTACTTTTGCCTTTTCCAGAAGGTCCTATAAAATGGCATTACACAGTAAGTAACCTTTTGAGTCTGCCTTCTTTCACTAACAATGTATTTGAGGTTCGTCTGCATTATTTCCTGTATCAGTAGCTTGTTCCTTTTTTTACGGCTGATAGTATTCCATTGTGTTGCTGGATCCGTTTGTTTATCAATTCACAAACTGAAGGACATTTTGGTTTTAATGGCTGTCAGTAATTATGAATAAAACCTTGATACCATAGGTTCATGGGTTTTATGTGAACACGGGTTTCTATTTCACACAGGAATTCTACCAGGGGTGGGAC